AATATCGTTAAACTTGGTGTAGGTAAATATGTATATAAATATAAAACGGCTTAAAAATAATATTGGTCTTTCTCCTTCTTTAATAACTAAAATTTTTCAATTTTCAATTATTTTAATTTATCAATAATATTATGCACTTATTCAAAAAATTTTTTATTTTGGTCCTGCTACTCGAACTATCATAATCATAAATAGCTTTACAATATTGAAAATATCACAAGTAGTTTGTAAGCGGTTCCGTCAACCAATTAATTGTAGTTTAAGAACATATTTCAATTGATGCTTAGTATTTTTGCCATTACCATTTTACTATTTTACCATTGTACTCGAAGAGAAATGCAAAAATACTGAGCCGAAATTATGAGTGAAATATTATGTAAATTATTAAAAAGTAAACAAAGTGAATAATATAGGTTACAAAAATAAACACTTTTCAAAAAATTTTTTGGTACCTTAACATTTTTACTTTATGAAATAAATGAAAAATGTTTTCATCGCGTGCCGGTTTTTGTGACATATATACCGGTAATAGTAGTGAACACGAGGTAAATGCAAATATTTGAAGTATATGATCATTTATAGGGGATCAATCAAATCCATTTTAGTTACCTAAAACTGAATATGATTGATTTTTATTGGAGGTCCCAGAGTATCATTCCCTTCAATATATTTTTACTGAGTTCGAATTTAACTCCACCACGAGTTACATCCGGATTGCTTTTCATCAGCTCTACTAATTTTACGACTGAAAATAATAAACTAAAAATTTATGAAATATGAATTAGTTATATACAAACGCTACTTTTGTTTTTCCATTAAAAAAATATTGTTACAGACATTATATTTTAATGTTGTATAGATATTTATTGAAAAGTTTTTTTTTTAATTTATTTATAGATATTTAAAAATTATAATTTATTTAATTACTAATGTTTTACCTTTTTTTCATAATAACCTCCATCATAAACTATGAACTGAAAATCACAACAAAGTTTTGAAAATTATTTCTAGTCATATACAATGACATTTCTCAAATTCAAAACTAGACGAATAAAATCAACAATGACATTCATTTCGCGAACCATGACCACTTCCATGATAAGTCAAAATATTATACAGTAAAGTAAACGTTTTTTAGTTCAATCAACAAAGTGTAACATAATCTGTGAATTACCTTTATCTTCTCTTTATCAAAACTGTACTATTAAGAGATACCTTGATAAAATTATACGTTAATACGATCCATATTAGAGATTTAAGAGAAAGAAAAAATTTGATCTCGATAAGGAAAATTACAATATAAAAAAAAATAACAACTTTTTTTATTTACGTTATACTGCATAATTTTATTTGTAGTAACGTTCATGAATACATAATAATATTCATAACACAATATTTTTTTCTGTCCACAATGTGGAAACAAAAATTAAATTATAAAAATTGCAAATATCTTTAGTTATTGTTACCAGACATTGTGTGCAAGCCAATATATAAATGTATGTATGTACATTCAATATTAATATTAACATTTTACAAACCACATTGGAATTTAGTTTTGAAGCGTAGAGGAAAAACCAGTACGAAAAAATAAGCATACCTTGCAGGTTGGTATGTGAGAATTTTGTTAAATTTTCCAACCAGTTATGCAAATATACATAAACATAAGATAAAGCATCTTATGTGTATTTTTTAATCATTAATATTTGAAACTTCAAAAGCAATTAGATTTTTAATTTATTAGAATGTATTCATATGTATGCACTTGTGTGCTAAGCTATGTTATTACATTTTATTCAAAATAGACAATATACTCATCAGAGATGCAAAGAATACTCGGCGAAGACTTCGTACTTTGAAGGGGATAAATACTTTTCTTAGAATTTACATAAATATTCATTAAAATTATTTTATACCACTGTTCACATATACCCACATTAAACTAATATATTGTTATTAATATGAATTACCAAGAAAACGCCCTCATGGCACTCATTCTTTTTTTGAAATAAGGCAAGGAAATGCCTTCACGATAGTCATTTCTTTTTCATATAAATTTTTCCACTTGTAACAGAACTTCAAACTTTAACACTTTCCGAAAAAAAAATTAAAAAAGTTGATAATAGTTTCACTTTGTCCATCCGTTGGTACGTCCGTGTTTCTGTTTACATCTTTTAGCGCTTTTTTCTTTGAAATTTTAATATTGTTTTTGTTCTAGATGATAGAACAACTCTAAAATTTTATCAGCTTCTACAAAATAAAAGATAATAATGAATTTTACATAAAAAAATAGGATAAATTCTATATAAAAACATAGAATAAATTCTATAAAATAATATGTATTATAAAACTTGTTTTCATTTAAAATTATTAGGGTTTTATTGCAATAAATATATACCAGAATTTTAATTTTAACAACAAATTATAACAAGTATTAAGTAAATGGGGTCTGCACCTGCGGCCTTTTAGAACTTTTTGTGTGGCCTGCTAAACGACCTAAATACTTTTAAAAAAATCAATAAACGAAATGTGGTTGACGACAAAAATGTACTCAGTAAAATAGGTTTCTCACAGAACAATCAGAAACCTATTTTAATGTGTGGAAGATTTATCCTCACTCTCCACGTGAAAGTCGCTAGTTAACTGCTGTATGTTCATTTGATCATTTTGCGCATTGGACACGTTGAAATTTAGACCGTAAGAACATTTCAGGTGATTTTTAATTTATTTGATAAATATGAATCTCAATCCTGTTTAAGCTACATTTGAATGTGCGGCCCGTATAAAAAATTTTATTTTGAAAATACCACTACAAGGTAGATTCTCCTTAGGTATATTAATTAAAAATTTAAGGAGAAAGAAAACAAAAATATAATTTTTACAAAATATCTAATTGTATTTACATATTGTGTATTATTAATGTTGTTTCCGAGCATTTATAACATCGAAATTTATTTATGTCCTCTACTAACTGGTTTCTATTTTAATTGAGGTTATGAATATAAAAGCAGAAAAAAATTTTATGCTGTCGATATGGCAAAAGATTTTTTGCAGTTCTACCAACAAAAACGGAATGCTTTTTGCACTAAATTACAAAACCGTGCTGACCATTACAGATCTATGGTAAAACTACAAACGCGAAGCAACCTTAATTTTGCATCAGTTTAACAAGATTTTCTCTAAAATACCTTTACAATTACTTTTTTCTTTAAATTTGTAAAATGTTGAATGTAGAGAATACGTACATATGTATATTATGTATAATCATTGCGTTAAACAAAATAAACAGTTAAATAATATTAAAACATATTATTTATTTTCTTATCAGTAACATTTTTTATTATTTTTATAATTCTATGTTAAATCTTGTTTTTTATGTACTTCAATATAAAAAATAGTACCATCTAAACTCTAGATTATATATGTACATATTGCGTACATGCATATGTGCAAGTTGCAGTCGCATAAATTTGGAGAAATGGTACGTAGCTCATACAGTACCTAGAGTGTACATACATATACATAAAAAATTCTCGAATAACATGACACGCAGGATAGTGAATAATATTAATATTCCTTGAATTCAATCTCAAAAGTCATATAGTATAATAATTATGAAAAAATGTGCTACGAGTATCAAACACATTATTGCGTTTATGTATTATATGTACGGCGTGTTAATAATAATAGAAATACTAAACTATGTATGCATGTATATGTTCTTCTTACAATATTATTATATTATACTTGATTTGTCTTAAACTCTAAATTAGAAAACATCTTTTTTACTGTTGCAACGGCAGTAGAATCTTCTTCTGGTAAGTTGCATAACACTTTTTTAATTGTTTCAAAATAGTGGGCATAATATTTTATTGCATCTAGTCATGTCCCCCAGCGCGTTATAATAGGTTGGAGTAGAAGTGTTAAATTGGGCATTTTTTTGACTCAATTTTGAATTGTATTTAGCAAAATAGCTGGAAAATGGCGAAATAGGTCAAAAAAGCCAAAAAATATTAAAAAAAAGTTCTTAAACAAAGGTGTTATACCCGGAAAAAGGTTGAAAAAGATTTTTACAAATCAATGCCAAATAAAAGTAAATTTTCTGAAACGCATTTGTTAATTGGTAAATATGTCCTAATAAGCACTACTAAAAATATGTTAAAACCTAAAAATTTGTTCCCTAGTTATTACATTTGCAAATAGGTATACATACACAAAAATTGCGTAGCTCTTGAAATAGTTTTTTTTAATATCTTGCACTAATCAACATACATTACATTACTACAGGAACGTTGCTTACTTATGCATACATATATGTACATGTTTATATATACATAAATGTCAACAAACTCAAAAAAGATATCGTAACGCAATTCAAGTTCAAATGTATGTACATATGTAATGTGCATTGCTATTCAATTTTTTTTATTTGGAAAAAAGGTTTTTAAAGTTAAATTCCGTTACAATTCAATTTCATTCCTTTTATATTTTCAAAATATATTACTACTTTGTATTTATAAAATACAAAGTGGTAATAATTGAAATTAAATACATATACGTATAATGATTCAAATTATACAGTAATTAACAATAAAGTTAGTGTGGTGTAGTGGATAAACCAAAAAATTTTATTCATACGTACGTTTCCTTTAAATCTGGCAAGAAGTACGTATATAAGTATATTAAAATAGAAATGAAACCATCGCAGTTTTCTCCTATGCACGTTTATACTTAAATAATTGCATACATATTTACATATGTATTTACCTAGACACAAATTTTTTCGGATTCATTTTCCTTCTCTAATACACTCTTATCTTGGAAAATATTTAAATTGATCACAAAATCTTGTAAAAATGTAAAACACTAATTAAAAATAAATAAATAGTCAAATTTAATAATTGATTTAATATAAAGATCCGTACATTACCACAATATATGCAAGTAATAATTAAAAAAGAAATAAAAATTAAAACAAGATATTAAAAATAAAATAATGAACTTCATTTTTTACGGGGGATTTTCATTATATGTGATGTTAATTTAGCTGGTATTTCTTCATTTTTTTCTTTAATAATACTGTTTCCGTTTTTATTGTCGCTATTATCTTCAGAAACATTTGTTACATCTAATTTTTCATCTTCATTCCTATTATTATTCCCTGCTTCATCGTCATTATCCGTTTCTTTAACTAATTCTTTCTCTCTTTTATTACTTTCTTCAGTTTCTTTAATGATTGCTTTACTCTTATCTTGATTTTCACTATCTAGTTTACTTTTTTTTTCGTCTTCCACCAGCACTTCTTGATCCATTTTATTTTGTTTTGTATCTTCTTCAACATTTTCTTTTACTTCAACATTCTCTTTCAAATCTTTATCGGATTCATTTATTTTTTCATTCTTTTTTTCAACTTTACTTTCTGTTTCTGTGTTTTCATTTTTGGAATTTCTTTTAGAATCCTCAATTTTTTCATTGTTCGTAATACTTTTTTCTGCATTCGATTTATCTTTTTTTATATTTTCATCTTCTTTTGCTTTATCTTGATCATCTTGTTCTTGTTCTTGCTCTTGTTTGTCAGTAGGCTGTTCTAAAACAGGCTGTTTATTATTGATCTTATCGTCATTATCATTGTTGTTTTTCTTAACATCTTTCTCATTTTCCTTTTCTTCCTCCTTCTGATTCTCATTATTTCTTCCATTATCTGATCTGTCAATAATGATTTCATGTAGTTCTTTGGGTGAATTTTCTTTAACATTTCCTTTATCGTCGTCCTTATTTCTGGATTCTCTTGAATCAGTTTCTCCACCACTTCTATTAGATTGCTGGTCTCCTCGAACAGACTTCTCTTTTTCCTTTTCAGATTCGAAATTTTTACCGTCATTTTGGATTTTATCTTTACTCCCATGTTTAACGGTAGATTTTGGTTGTTTTTCATCATATTTTATTTCTTCACCTCCATTTTCTTCTGGTTTCTCTAATTGGCTTTCTGCTAAATATATATAATAATTTTATTACTTTCTAATAAAAATAATTTTAATTTAATACTTTCTGAATTGACTTCATCTTTTGTTTGAACTTCTTCGATGGAACCGACAACACGTTCTTTTATCTTTTGATCATTTTGTTCCCCTTTACCTGTTTCTAACTCAACAATTTCTTCCTGTTTTTGAGACTTCGTATCCTCACGTTTATATTTTGTAAGTGGTGAAATTTGTTTTTTTAATTGGTTTAAACTTCGTTTAAGTTTAGAATTGTCTTCAATATTTTTATTATTTTGCGCTTTGTCTTCTACAAGTTCACTTTCAGTTGGATTAATTTGAATTTCCATAGGTAAATGCACTGGTTTTATAACAGTTTCTTGAGCAAAATTATCTTCTGCATTAATGTTTGGAGTTTTTTCGTAGCTTAAAGTATCCAATTTAGTATTAAAATTATCCTGGAATTTTTTAGAATTGTCTACACAAAGTTTTTTTATATTGTTGTTTTCCAGAAGTTCACCCAAAAATCTTAAAGTTTCCAAGTACTCAGCTTCTTCTTGTGTTATCGGCTGATTTTCATTTTCTTGAATGTCAGTTAAATACTGATTTTCCTGAATTAACTGTTTTAAATAATTTGGTTGATTAATTTGGATTTGTTCTAAAATATCAAATATATTATTCCAATCATTCATGTCAACCTCACTTTGAGAATTTAGTTGAGCATTATATTTGAGGTCGTTCAACGACATTCTATAATTTTCTCTAAAGGAAAAAATTTAAATAAATTAATAGATAATTGTTAAATAATGGTGCTTATTCTAAATATCAATTTACAATTGATAGTGATATTTATCGAAAAAGTTTTAAAAAAACTTTATTATCGAAAATTGAATAAAATAGAACACAATAGTAATATCGAATTTTTAAATATCACTATACGATAAATAACATTATCACTTAGTGAATCGGCACCCCGAATAAGCTCATATTTCATGAAGCTGTTTGATTAAACTAAGCGTCTGTTATATTTGAATACAAACTTAACACTTCTGAAGGATATATTTTCAGTAAATAACAATTTGAGCATATTTTTAACGTTCTATAAACTTGAGACAAATATTAAGTTTTCAAAATAATCCCAAAATTTTTCGGAATAACTACCTTTTATGACAAGCATTTTCTGCTAAATAAATAAATGCAAACAATATAAAAATTATTTTAATTAACATTATTCTTTTTGTATAATATTAAATATAAACCTTTAAAAAAGTTTTTTTTTTTAAATAATAAGAAAAAAACTAAAAATTTTAAAATATAATAAGTAAACTAACTCGAATAATTTAAATAAACTAAAATTTTGTGCAATAGATTTCTTATCTTTATAAAGTTTTTTAAAAAAGAATTTGCACATCACTGCAATTCTTAAGGTTTTATTATTTAAACAATAATAAAAAAAATCATATATTTGTTTATTTCAAGAATAAAAAGGTCAAGTTCATTGGTGTAATGTTACTATAAATTTATTTTTGTTTAATTGAAATTTTTACTCAAAACACAACAAAACACATTTAATTTAAAAAAACTGGAAGGTTTAAAATTAAATTTTTATGTAAACGTGTTATAAAAAAGTTTAAATATTTCAATATTTGGAAATTAAGATAAATATATTTAAAGCTCGTGTCATTCGATTTGAAAAACAGAAAGATTTAATAGAATGACCTTGAGTGCGATAGTAAGTGCAGAAAAAGCCACAACAGATTACAGTTTAAATAACATTATTTTCCTATTTCATTGGTTTGAAATTTTAAAAATTCTAAAACTGAGTTTCTGGAATTTATTCCATTTCATTTATACTTTTCTTTCTTACTTAATATGTAGATATTTTAGTACTATTTGGTAGGATAACACTAATATTGCAATAATATTATGGAGTATGATATCGGTATTCACCCAATACCTATGTTTAATGTCATTCATTCATTCACATTTCGTTTTCTGAATAAGAATAAAAAATCTTAGGTCTAAAACAGGAAATTATTCTTTGGAACTCAGAAACTAACAAATTAATGTTAAACTATATTTATTGAAAAAACTGTTAGTATAAGGGGGTTCACGTCTCCTCGTTGATATTTTCTTTATAGTGGATATTTTCTTGATAATTGTGTTTACACAATGAGTTTTACATCGATGGTTGGTATATCTTGCAAACAAATTTGGCAGTATACTCTATTTTCTTTCGGTGATAAAGTTTTCTAGGAGAATCTAAAAATGGGAATTTTGCTATTTTTCAATTCTGGCAAGAAAATATTTTTTTACTACCAATTAATGAATTTAATAGGTCTATTGTTCTAGTACTCTCGTTTCAAATTCAGATTTATATCCACTATATTAGTAAAATTTCAAATGAAATAAAACTAGTAGAACGGTCAACGGTCAGTTCCCACAAAAACACCATTCAGCCCATTTAATTTAATATAAATAATCATCCAATAATACCCACTAAATATTATTATTTTGTAATACTAATATGTAATTGGTAGAGCTGCGTACAAACCGTTATAATTAAAAAAAAGATTTTATATTCTATTAACAAAATTAGCTTTTTAGTTTGACTAATGATGTATAGATGGAGTAACAAATATTTGCATTATTACATTAAAAAACAAAAAAAGAGGCATGTCCACAATTTTCAAGACTCGAAAACATTATCGTATTGTTACCATAGATAAATTGTTAATTTTTGACAACCTAAGTGAAACATGTGACATTTGTTAGTGAAATAAAAAACTAAATATTGAAGAACTATGATTTTTTGTTTTTAAATAAATAATAGCCGAGCGTTTGTTTACGTTCTTACAACTTACATAAAAATGTCTGAAAATAGAAGAAATCGCAGATACAGCAGTTACAAGGTAAGTAATTTAGAAAAATGGTTCAATAGTTGTATTTGGACTGTGATAAACTTATATTTTAGGACAAATCTGCAAAACAAATTGAAGACCCTCCTATTCAACCGAAAATATTATTAAAAGCTAAAGATAAAGAAACTACATTATTAAGCGGTAATGATTCTAATATCCAATTTCTAAATTCCAATGTAGCAGCTTTGCAAAATAAAGAACATCTCTCAAGCTCTACCGCAACATCTACGCCAACAGCTTCGAGTTCCGTTACAAGTAATATATCACCCAGTACCTCACAACCAATAGAATCACAATTTGGTCAAAGTGTAGCACAAATGACTAAACCAATAACAATTTTATCATTAGCTAACAATCAAGTCAATTCTAACACGAATAAAGTTCTAATAAAATCGAATACAGATTTTTTAGTTGTTGGCGTGATTGGACGTCAAGGCATTGGCAAGTCAACGATAATGAACTTTTTAGCTTCGCCAAAATCTGGTTTAGATTTTGCTGACACAAGTGATTCTATAGCCGTTAACGCTGAAGAAATTTATAAAAAATTTTTTAAGAATCGTGAAGGAGTATTTCCAACCAAATTTAAATCCGGAAAGTCACCATCAACTCCTAGAACTGAATCATTACATATGTTTATTACCAAGGATCGTTTGATACTTTTAGATGGGCCTCCAATTTTGTCTAACCCTGGTAAAAAAGATGCCACAACAAATGAAGTGGAAGATATTAATTTAATCATTTTACTTTTAACCGTTTGTCATTTGCTAATTGTTGTGCAAGACGATTACTTTGATTTAAATTTGGTTCGTTTATTGCAATTTGCAGAACTATGTAAACCAAGCGATTCAGACTCAAAATCATTTTCGAGTGACCACTTACCAAATATCTTGTTCTTAAAGAACCATGCTAAATATAAGGACTTTTTAGCGGATGCAAAGTTGAAATATGAAAACTTGATAAAATATTGTTTTAAGGATTCTAATTTAAAGATATTTTTTGGACAAACAGGGGACAATAAGAAGAGATCCAAATTTATGGAAAATGATACTGTAAATTATTTTATATTTCCAGAAATTACAGGTAATTAAAAGTGTATTTATAAGTTATGAAGAAATTATATTAGACCTTTTGCTTTATTTTAGAGAATGAACTTTACTCTTCCAATTTAGATATATTAATGGACGAATTGCGGCAAAGGGTTTTTATGAATCCAAGGAATAATATATTAAATTGTGAATACAATGAAGCTTTATGGTTTGAAATATTTTCAAATAGTTGTATGAGAAAAAATGAATTTTATTTGTCAAAATATGAAGAGATTAGAAGGGCACATACTAATCCTCATACTGATCAGAATGCTCAAAATTAAATTTAATTCTATAAATATTTATTAATATGATACAATGAACAGTGAGTTTTTTTACTTATACATTATATTAATTTATATTCAATTATTTACATAATTAATAATAATTAAAGTTCTTAAAAATCATATTCGCAAATTAACAAGAAATTTCCTTAAAATTGATTAATTACAATCTAAATTTTCTATTTAAAAATTGTATCCATAAACATACATTTTCTTTGTTCTATTGGTTTGTAAGAATGTTGGTATACGCTTGCTAATCTCCAATGTTCCGGGTAACCACCTTGTCCGGCTCCGCCCTTATAACTTTTAAACGGTGGTACTAATGTACTAATATCATATTTTTTTCTCATATATGGATTTCTCGGCTTAGGGACAACTAAAATTTTCGTCCCTGTTGAACATGACGACATAGTACTGCAACCGCTATCAGAACTAATTCCTCCGGTAACATCTCGTTTGGGAGCACCGGCTTTAAACGCTTTCTTATATTCTGCTTTCTCACTTTCTTCAGGATATGGTTGAGGAGCTACTTTATAACAAAGACGCATTGTTTTTTTAAGAAAACTTGGTTGTTTTGCTCGAACTTCTTTAGGTTTACCACGGTACTTATTACAAGAATGCAAAACTTTACCGTATGATTGAACTTTTGGTTTATATTCTTTTATTTCGAAGTCTTCATCGTTATTATTATTGTCATTAAGTTTGTGCATATTTTCTTTGTAATATTGTGGTGCATATTCACTTACTTGAAATTCTGATAAATTTGGAGAACTTTTAAATAATTTTGTGTTATCTACTAAAATATCCCCTCTGGAAGCACTTTTTGACCGAAAGTTATTATTTTCAGATTGTGCAACAGCTTGTTGCATTTCTTCAGGAAACACAACTGGAGAAGTACCACAAGTACATTTTAAATCTGTTTTCTCCCCACCAAAGTTCGATTTTTTTTTAATAATATCTTTATCGAAAAATCCTGGATCTCCAAAGGTACTTGTAAAAACTCCCCCAGATCTTCCTGTTTCATTAGGTTTTGGACTTCTAGGAGTTGTGACAATTTGAAAAACCGCAGGTCCCGCATCATCTTCGGTACCATCAATATGACGGGTCCATTTTGGTTCATCATTTGAATCAGCAGGTCTAAAATCCCAACATATGGCTAAATCCATTTGGCCCATTTTTTTGTCTACCACTGATGTTCCAGGTCTGTGTACATTGATGTATTGTTTGTTGTAACGACTTAAAGGTTTTGGAACTACCCCACATGTCTGCGGGCGATAAATTTTCATTTTCGTGCAATGTGTTGGACCAACATTATATGCACCTACACCAACAGCTGTTGGTTTTGGGACAAAATCTAAAGCAAACCCTGGAAAATTATAACCCTGTGCTTCTAATTTTTTAAATTGTTCATCCGTAATACGATCAGGTAAAGGTTGATGTTCTAAATTTTCTGCATGCATTTTTCTAGCAATTTGAAAATTATATTTTGCAGGAATAATCGGTGACGGTGTACGATAGTTAGGTTTTTCCGGAATAGGTTTTACAGATAAATAACGCATTTTGTCTAAGTCGTCTGTTGTAATGTTTGTTTCACCTAAAGCTTGTCGTAATTGATGAACGTCTGTTGGATCAATATCTTTTCCTAAAACGTGAGGAGATGGACTTCGCTTTTCCTTTTCTTTTGTAGCTAGTAAAGCTACTTTATCGTTACACTGATGCTTTTCAAGAAAAAATTCATCAGGTTTATCTAATTTCGGTAATTGACCTTGATCTCTTAGTTCCTTTTGTTCTAGCAAAAGTTCCCGAGATGGATGTTGGTCTTTTGGTTCTGTAAAATCACCTGGAACGTATTCTAAATCTAACGACTGAAAGTAAAACGAAATAAAGAAAAAAATTTTTATGTTTATTTATATCTGTAAATCAATTTAAAATTTTGAACATTTGAATGTGATTCATTTGTGCTATATGGGAAATTTAAAACAAAATCTGTGATACGACTGTGATATAAGCATTCAAAATAAAACTGAATTAAACATTCTTTTCTTTATTAAAAACACTTTTCAATTCTTCAACAAATTCCGGTTACTCCTTTAAGAATAAATATATATAGAATAATTAAGATATTTAGATTATCAGCTCAAAAACTTCAAAGTTAAAACAAAACTCAATCAAAACAAATATTTATGATAAAAAGGTTTACTTTAGCTTTTTTAATTTTCCTTGATTTAGGGTGTTCTGAATATTTTGTGTCCGGTTTTTTATTACGCGTTGCCCATTTGTTTTTGTTAGTTAATGATGAATTCATATCTTCAATTTGTTTTTGCGACAATTTATCTGGTAATTGCCATGTACTCTTGAAATTTCCCCACGGACTGGTTTTTGGTCTTGGTATATGCGGCAGTAAATGGCCATTCTCATCAGATATTATTTTTGTTTTACCGTATCTTTGTAATGGTCTTTTTGGGAAAACTTTTGGTACCTCCCAGTTACGAAGCCTTCGAGGTGCAAATTCTTTATCAAACTGTGAACATTTTCATTTTTTATTTTAGCGAAAAAAAAAGAAAATTAAAATACAAGCTAAATAAATGGGTACATTTTATACAAAATAGAAAAGAAATTAAGAAAATAATTTATAAATATTGTTTTGGAAAGATACTGAAATAATAACGAATATAACACTATTTAAGTGACTTTCTGCCGCTAAGGGGCTAAATTTAATTCTTGATTATTTTCTTAATAAAAAAAAATCAGTACAATTTATATTCTGTGAATAATTTATATATGTATGTGAATAAAAATATAGATACATTGCATAATATTATATTGCTATAAATATATTGTCATAATATATATTGTTACTTATAGAAACACAGAACTTTTAATATTATAAATAATATAATCTCAGTAATTACGCACGACACTACTTGTTGTCTGTTGATTGCAGATTAGGAAAAAGTTTTTAATTTTTTTTATTAATTTTATTACTACGGCAAGCAAAAGCCAATGTTTATTTCTTTAATCAATATATAAAAAGCAATACATACATACATATGTAGAAATTATCAATTGAATTCTCTTAGGAATTGCGATATTCAATAACACTTAGGTATCATTATCTGGACAACCTTTTGAATAAAACTACAATGGACATCTGCTTCTCTTAAATATTGAATAATCAAAAAATCAAATTGATTGTATTACTATATAGAAATTTAAAGTAAGGTATACATTGACTCCCACTATAGAATTCAAATACAATTTTTTGTTAACTGATATAAAACTTTTGTCAATCGTTTTGAAATTTATATACAACAAACATACACATGTAATACAATTATTTGTGAAAAAAAAATTTATACAAAAACCCGTCAAATCTGTGAAGAAGTTCTCTGTTCAAAAGACAAATCTATTGACATAATGTATTGATATTCGAAAAATTCAAAGATTGTTTTTGGAAATATACTGTGTATTCGAGTCGGGTGATTACCTATAGTTTTTAAATTTTTGTTATTAAAAATTGAAAACTAGATCTCTAGCCAAATTTCTACTTATGGTTAAAAAATTTTTAAGTAAAATTAAAAGTTAAATGGAAAATTTATGTATGATCAGTAGGTAATCACTTCCTAAAATTTAAATAAATATTTCCCCAAAGGATCACAAGTTTCTTTCCTGGCCACACACGTCTGTACTTTATAAATAGATCATTTTGCTGCCATCTACATTTTGTTACGCAATTGAGTTCGTATACAACAAAAAAGTGTTTTAATTTGGTTTATTAGGAAAAACTTAATGTAGTCAGCAAAATGTGTGAAATTGTCAGTAAACATATCTTACAAGCGGGTTCGACTTTAAATCTTATATACGATCTTATAATGTAGTTCTCGCCTAAAATTTAGGATTTTTTTAACATTTAATTTCCCTTTGATTATTCTTCTATTTTTATATATACTTATGTATATGTATAAATAGTATCTATAAATACGTATGTATATGTATGTATATGTATAAACCAAAATAATAAATTCAATTTTAAAAGTAGACACTGCGTGAAATTACATTAATCGTCAACTTTTCATGTAAAGCACTTGTTCCAATTGCTTCCATTAAATTTTTTTTTCTTTTTTTTTTTACGGTGTGTACGAATTTTTCTATGCGCTCAATATTTTATGTAAACGAACCAAAACATATTTAAGGATAATTTTTATTATTAGGATTAAATCTTAAACCTTTATGTAACAAAACAGTCAACCCCTCTTGAATTTTTGAAATTTTTTTGCAAGTTCAGATAAAATAAAAATCATTTAATTTTTTTTATATCTACAAAGTACGTATTTAAAAAATATAAAAATCCTTGCTTTTCATAATTCAATAAATAATGTTATATGTATGTATGTTCATATGTGAAAATAATGTGCAAATTTATGTAGGAATAATATTGCTACGTGTGTTGAAGATTCTTGTATACATATACATAAATTCCATGAGTATAGAGGTATTTAATATACTGAAACTACGCAGGCAGGGTATAATGCGAGTTTTATTGCAAATTTTCTACGAATGTAGTCTTTGTTAAAGTGAAACCGAAAATCTTGTGATCCTGCAGTGTTTTTAAAAAAACTTATTTGAGTTAATAAATTGAGTTGACAAAAGAAAGACATTTAGCAAATTTGGTAGTCTTTCTTTTATATTAAATTCAAAATGAGGAAATTACCGGTGAACCAAACAATTTTTTTTAGGTCAATAACAGCTATCATCGATTAAGCCGGCAATCGGTACTCAGAATCCTGTTCAATAACTTTAAAGTCGACAATCTACGCTAAACATGTTTATGCATTGTATGTATAGAATATCTATTAAGTGAAATCGTCTTCCATAATAGCACAGGTGTTTTTGAATGAGCTTATTAAAGACGAATCGATTTAATTACAGTATACTTTAATTACAGTAATTACAGTAGAACCCATTTTTCGCTTTCTAGAATAAAAAAATTGAAACACATGGTGATAGTATATTAAATTCAAAAAAATTGAAATTTTCCAATTTCCAAAGCAGTAAATAAATTGGGAGTCAAGTTGTAAGTAAAACGAATAATTTATTTTTACAGGTTTTTTAAAGTTAATAGCAAGTATGACTCTTCCATTTGAATTGCGTATTTTTAAGTTTTTAAAGCAGTTTATGGCAATTTCAAAAATTTTTTGTCAAAATTTATTAAATGTTTTTTTTTCACTTATTATAGTAAAAAGCGGAGTATTTTGGTGATTTATTTTTATATAATTATTAACTAATTTATTTTATTGTTAAACAATAAAATAAATTACTTAATAATTATTGTTTAGTAAATAATTTATTGTTTTTCATTTTGCTTAAATTTTATGATTATTGCAATTAAAATAAAAGTAAAAAATAATTTTCAATTTTAAAACCTTTTGTAAAGGTACTGCCAAAATCTTGATTTGAATTCACAAATTTTTTTTTTTATAATTGAATTTTGTGAAGTGTATTGAACTCAAAAAACTATCTAAAAACTATCACCCTGTGGGTGTAAAGTCATACATAAATTTTTTTCAAAATAAATTATGAAAACAAAAAATCAAAGTAAAAATATAAAATATTTGTGGAACGTATGTTTGAACGTGTGTTTCAACAAAGAAAGACATATGCTGACACGAAATAAATACACAAAATAATTACGTTTTATAAATTAAAACACAATTTGATAAATGTAATGAAATTTGATTCCGACATGAAATTATATCATATAAAGAAATTCAAGAAATGAAATGATAGTTACAATAATTTAATAAAAATGTACATATTTAAATTTTTAGATTTTTGACGCTCTTAATTGTAAAGTATTCGAGCATTTTGGTTAGTAGTCCAGAAAAAAGATAATTTTTATACAATGTACAAAATTATTCCAAAAATTGATATCAAATTGGTTATCAACTTTAAAATGTTCATATACATAATTTAAAAAGAAATTTTAATAATCTCCCTAAGAATTTACTAATTTTTTAAGATATAAACATGTAACGTACGTCAATGTGTATTTTTCTAATTATTGTATCTCTGAGGGTCTACTAAAAAAAATTTCGTATCGTATTTACACAATTTTGTTTGGTTCATACTTTTCCTAAAGAAAATTCCCGCTTATATACAATTTATTTATAATTAATCTTGAAATATTAAATGTATTAACTTATTATAAATCAAAGTATTAAAAAAATTATAAAAAAGTAAATATAAAATTTTATTTAATTTCAAATACATACATAATTTAATAATAAATAATATTGCATTTGAAACAGATGCCTAAATACCATTTAAATGGGCCAATTAAACAATTAAGTATTAAGCATAACAGAAAAATCAAACAAGTATACGCATAGATATTAAAGTAACTAAAACAATATTATTCTTGTTATCCTCATTATCCTTATAACATCGTATTCCCCTTCTCTTATTTGGTTTTTTTTTATTTCATTTTTTGCTTGTAATAATTTTCATAGTATTTAGGAATTACCTATAATTTTCTATCTAATTTATACCATATAAAAAAAAAGTCAATGATAAATGACTATCGGATTATATTTTTTGGTTAAATAGAGGAAGAAATGTTAAAACACGAAAGTTGAAATATGTACGAATGTTTTCTTCATAAAAAATTTATTCTACAAAAGTAAATATAAATTGAAAGTGCAATTCTTAATGGATTAATACTGAAAAAAAAACAACAAAGTTACTTTTAACACATGTCCATTGCAATTTTATGATAATTTAAAAAAAGAACAATTTATTTGAAAATATACGAAAAAAAAAAAAAAAATAAAAAACAGGATTCAATTGTAAAAAAAAATATTCAGAACAAATATTTTTGTTTTTGTTTACTCATATTTGGAAAAAATATGACAATTTTATGTTAATTAAGTTTTTCAATTTGTAATAAATGATACCAAATATGCCAATTTTTTATCGGGTTGTATAAATCGGATTGTATAAATCGGGTTGTATAAACCAATTCTAGACAAATTGGGAAACAAATTTTTGCTATTACTTTTTATTTTAACCTGTTGAAATTTACTAAAAAATTTATTTTTATTTTGAAGCTGTATTTGAACATATAAGAGTAAACTAATTTTGGTAATTTATTATATATTTTTATAATTTTTAATTACGAGATAAGAGCAATCAACATTATAGTGATTTATTTTATTACTTATCAATGATGTGTTAGAAGAGATGAAAAAGTTTTCATATTTTATTTAAAAATTTACGAGTTTCTTATGTACACTCGTATCGCCAATTCAAAAATCAAAAAATAAAAATTCTATTACATTAGCTATTTTTTTTTAGTCTCGATTAAAACAAAATTAAATAACTGTAGGTAGATTTACTTTTAAGAAAACAAACTTAATTTTATTAACGAAATTCATATTAAATCTAGTCAATGAGAAATTAAAATGAATCTATATATTGTATTCATGTTTTTCTTTTTTTATTATCTGTTTTGTAGGTCTGAGCCAGACCAAGAATTTGGATTCGAATCAAATATTTGGGTATCACAGAATTTAAGAATAAAAAATGATAAAAATGCAGCTTGAACAAAGTTTCTATAGCAAATTGAAAGTGAGACGACGAGGAAATTGACTTATACTAGTAAATATTTTATATGAATTCCTGTTGAAAAATTTGTGCATTTTCTTTTGAAAATAAAGGCAGTATTGAGAAAGCTGTGGATAAAAATATTGAAATATATATATATACGGAAAAGGTGAAATAAAACTAATGAAAACAAGCCTTCAATTTTTGGATATGTAAATGAATTATAAAATCTTGTATGTACTATACCAATAATTTTTTGTATTAGATTAAATTTTTTAATTTCATTTAAAAATTCGAAATAATGTTTTGTAATGTTTTGAAAAATTTTAAAGTACACTTACTTTCACTAGAGTTTTTGAAATTACAGCCTCTAGAGGAAGTCTAAGAAAATTTTACAAAATAATTCTAACTTAATTATTTTCCAATTAAAAAATATACAAATACTAGACTCTTAAACAGTTATTTTTACTTTAATGTTAACGTAAGATATTTTACTGTTGAAAATGAAACAAAAAAAAAATAAATACAAAAAATGTAGTAAAAAAAATCATATAAAAAAGTATAACTTTAAATAATTCAATACAATAAAAATTCCAAATAGATAATCCTTAAAAGTGATAAATTGATCCCTGGGGCTTATAAAGAACAGCATGTTAAAGGATATTTAAACATATTATACTGTACTCGTATAAAACTTTTTCTTGTAAGAATTACACACTTCTGTAGATTGTCAGAATTCACCCCCTTAACTTTATTTTGCTAATATAATACGTGGTGTTGGTGCGTAAAATTATTTTACAATGCATATTACCTAAATTCAAAATCCTGAATATACCCTTTAACATAATTTTTTGTTTGGCCTATTGATAATATCTTTCTTTTACATAAACATACTTATATGCATCGATGACAACACTAAAATTGACGCAACACTTATATATATATATATATATGAATCTATTTAATGTATCAATTTATTTAATACCATTAAACAAAATGTAATCGTACATGTATTTCTCAAATTAGAAACGAATCTTTTTTAGTCAAAAGATATTTTTTCAACTCTTGAATAAAAAAAAAGATAAATATAGAGGACTAAAGAATGTCATTTAACCCATGAAATTTATTGAAAATCATTTTCATTTATAATTGAAAATTTAAAAAAAAAAAGTGTTTCCTAATTGTTTTTGATTATTTTTTAAGTCTATTGTCCTTGAAAGCTTGGAGAATGAGTTATTATATTTTAAAATTATGCGTATCCCATAATTTTTTGCTGCTTGTTTCGTTAGACTGACTGCCCTACTACACTACATCCAAAAATTAATTTCGAAACGACTTGCAACAATTTGATAATAAAGATCTGTATCGTTCAACAAATTATCTGTTATTAAACTTTTATTTTAAAATTACTGAACTAATAATATCCTTACTCACGTATATATTCAAATAATTACATTCGTTCTTAATAAGTACATCCTTTTGTAATTTATAAGATGATGAAACATAATATAATACTGGGAGTACAAGTAACCATGGAGTGTGTAACTAACTTGGTGTGAAAATTTAATTAGCAAATAAAGTGATAATATAGATAGAAAATAAGTTGAAAATTAGAGGGTGGTATTTTATTATTATGTTGATAGATAGGTGTAAGTACAGTTTGTTATTGATGTTCTAAACGGACGTACGTTTAGTGACTTTAACACGTGTTTGAATTTTTGATTCAATTTGCTATTTGTGGTTTTTTTCTTCTATAATGCGATTACTATAATATATAGAAGTACTAAAGTACCCATAGCAAAAGTTTAGTTTGATGAATGATGAGTACTAATTTAAATATCATAAATTATAAATTGCATAAAATTTTGGAAGCCAGCTTTACCTTACAACATTCGCGGTGAATTCGTAAAATATTGTGTTTGCATTTTAATTAATTGTAAAATATAGCATTTAAATTTGTAAAACCGCGAACAATAATTTTATTTCACTGTATCAATTTACGTAATTTTAATTTGCTTATTGTACTCTGTTATTTACCCTCATGTTAATTTACATACTGTTATACAAATTTTGGTCTGCAATGGTTTTCATAATTTATTAATGAAAAATATTAAAAGTAACAACTATATAACAAATTTTATTCGGTAGCCCATGAGTTTTTTTATCAAAAAGAATGCTGTAGATTTTAAGAGTCCAAGAGTACGTTTTAGATTTTCAAGACAAATTTTTATTTATTATGAACCCATTTTTTAACCTGAGTGTTAATTAACTCAATAGAAAAATGTTTAAAAGCCTTATAGATAGATTTGTAAAAATAATAAAGTTCGGTCAATTCTATAGTTTGTATTGTAGCACTTTTCCCTTCAACAAGTGAAAATACTGCTTTTAAATACAGACTATGTATACCGACCACACTCTTAAAGTTATTCTCATTCATAAACGAAACTATTTCTAGGATTGCATGCACCTGCGATGAACGATTTATGCAGTCTGAAATAAAGCAAAAATTAATATAAACAGGTTACATAATGCTCGATTTTAAGGCTTAATTGCGTGTGTTAAGAAAAATAATTATATTTTTTAATGTCATGGAATTTACCTTTAGCTTCTTGCGTTTATAGAAATGTGATAAAGCTTTCGGTTTCAAAAATATAAGGCGTCAAAAATTTAAATTTCACAATTTTCAAGAGGCGATAACTTGAGAGGGGGTGAAGATGGAAACAAATTTTCTTCTAACGAAATAAACTATTCATTAGGGTCTAAAAGCTGCTAAAACTTCAGGCTCCTACAGCCCGGGGTCTCGAAAAAAAACGACAACAAAAATTTGGAAAAAACGGATTTTAGGTAACGGTAAATTTGTCCGGCTATTTTGTTTTTTCAAAGTTTAACTATAGTATGCTGAGACAGAAGAAGCCAGCCACTATTTTCCTGCTTTTGCAAAATTTGAAAGATGCTTATGGTTTCACTGCAATAAATAGTTAAATAAAGTTGGGTCAAACTAATGGTTTGTATTGTAGCACTTTTCCCTTCAATAAGTGAAAATACTGCTTTTAAATACAGTCTTTGCATACTTGCCACACTATTAAAAATATTTTCATTCATATACAAAATTATTTCTAGGATTGCATATATTTAGGACGATGCATATATGTAGTCTTTGAAATAAAGCAAAAATTAATATAAAGTGGGGTTAACATAATGCTCGATTTTAAGGTTTAATTGTGTGAGTTAAGAAAAATAATTATATTTTTTAATGTCATGGAGTTTACTGTTAGCTTTTTGTGTTTATAGAAATTTGAGAAAGCTTGCGGTTTGGGAAATATAAGGTGCAAAAATTCAAATTTTCCAAATTTCAAGAGGCGATAACTTGAGAGGGGGTGGAGATGGAAAAAAATTTTCTTCTAACGAAATGAACTATTTGTTAATGTCTAAAAGCCCCTAATTTCAAGTTTCTACAGGCTGGGGTTTAGAAGAAAAACGAAATCAAAAATTTGGAAAAAAAGACTTTAGATAACGGTAAATTTGAACAGCCATTTTGTTTTTCTAAAGTTTAACTATAGTATACCGTGCTAGGGGAAGCAAGCCACTGCCTTTCTGCGTTTGAAAAATTTCAAAAATGCTTATGGTTACATTGCAACAAATAGTTAAAAAAGGCCATTTTTAGGGTTTTGGAGGGGTATAACTTCTAGAGGGGGGAGATAGGTAAAAATTTTGTTCTACGAAAATAAGTTTCTAGTAAAGATCTATATATGTACATGTAAAATTTCAGCTTTCGATCTTCAAAGGTGTAGAAGTTTTGTAAACAGACACACGGATACACGGACAGACGGACGGACGGATGGACGGACAGAGTGAAACTAATAAGCACTTTTTTTCAAAAATTTTTTAGAAAAGTGCTAAAAATGGCATTTTTAAGGTTTTAAGGGGGTATAACTTCTAGAGGGGGGGAGATATGTAAAAATTTTCTTCTACGGAAATAAGTTTCCGGTAAAGATCTATGTGCATGTTAAATTTCAGTTTTCTATCCCCAAGGTTATAGAAGTTTTGCAAACATGTCCACGTAGAGACGGACCAACAAAGTGAAACTAATAATCACTTTTTTTCAAAAATTTTTTATAAAAGTGCTGAAAACTAGAAAAATTAAGTATTTTTATTGACTCTTAATAATATAATGATTCAATTCATTCTAACAAGTCAGTTCTAATAGAAATATGTACATATTAACCATTTTAAACAGCATTTTGGATGCTTAGTTTTAGATTTGTAACCTTAACTTTACAATTATTTTTACACTAAAAAAATAATTATTAATATTTTATTAATAATTATTTGTTTAATGTAAAAATAATTATTAATAATTTTAATTAATTACATTAAAAAAGTTCAAGCAATATACATATTTGTTAAGGATTATTAAAGTCCAACGACTGAAACTAATTATTTTACATACTCTTAATTATTAAACAAGCACTTTTAGGATAAACATACATATAAAGATTTAATAAAGAAGAAAATATTGAGTATAATATTAAGTAATTGACGTAATATGCTTTACTTTAAAAATGAAGTTTATACTTTTTAAGTTTAACATGTCCTACAAATAATTTTCTTATTATTAGAACCATTAATTATCATAGACCAGAATAACAGCTAATCACCAAGTAACAGTCAACTTTACTGTTAAAATTCTTAAAATTCTTATTTTTATCAACGTTGGGTGTTTAAGAGTTAAAAAACCAAAATAAATTTGTATTTCTTGTAGTAGAATAGCAACATAATTCTTTAGTATATATTATTATATTATTTTCTTTCTTCACTAGGAAGAGCATAGGGCTAGTACATGGTATCGTAGATAGTCAACCCCCAGTCTCATTGCGTCATATAGTTTTAACTAGGTTAGTAACTAGTCGTCCGTAATGTTTTCTTATATTGAATATTTAAGATTAACATTTATTGTTTATTTTTCTCGGTTTAATATCAAATATTATGGATGAAAATTATTTGTATGCCAACTTTTTATTTTATAAAAATTGTATATTAAGCTATAAAATTGAATATTACTTTTTATAGTGACCTGACAGGGTTTTTAACCCGAACCTTCGGTTAAAGGACCAGTGCCATAACCACTGCAAAGGTCAGGTTAATGTATTGTATGCAGGCGCGGTTCTGATGTATTCGTCGCCCTAAGCGGTTCCTAAAAAGTGCGCCCCCCCCCCCCTTCAACCTTTTCACCTATTTTATTACTGTGAACAAAATTTAATAGGCATTGCACATTGTGCATCATAAAGCAGTTTCTTGTAACCTTATTGTGCTGAATTATAGAA